GGAACGAAGGGAAAACGAAGGGAGGGTGGGGAGAAAGAGAGTGCAGCGTCGAGGCAGAGGAAGGTATTTGAGAGCGATTATCATAATCGCGCGTCATAACTCTGCAGGCTTGTCTACCTCGGCGGGGACCGATTGGGCCATCGGCCCCCGCCGATGGCTGGTCGAAGGGGGAGGGCGAGGGGCACCCTCTCGGATGGGACTACTGGCTTCGTCAGAGGAACGAACGATAAAAAACGATTTCGAACGAAGAACTGCCCACCGCTTAAAGAATCTCATCGAACAACCCACAAATTTATATCCAATTTGTGTATTACCGCTCATTACTTAAACCCATCCCATATATCGTCTATTGTCTCGTCTATTCGCCGAGAAAGCACGTAAGAGAGTGGGAACAAGCGACATTTTCTTGTATGTCGTACGAGCAACACATGACGTTGTGTTTGTACGATCTCCGCGCGATAGCTGGCTTAACCCTTTCAGCGTTTAATTCGCATTATTTCGTGGATAATCTTGTAATTAATAAATAAAATAATTGATCAGAGAGAATGATGTCAATATTGAGCAAATATATCAGAGAGGAATACGGAATATCGAAAATCTAAAGTCTATATACATTTCATTATTAACAAGAGGTGTGAAAAAAGATAAACGTGTTAAAAACTATTTGATCCAAAGTGCATTCATTCTTGATAATCTAAAACTATTAAAGTTTAATATTAATTATAATTATGTGCGACTTTTTTTCTTTGATCCGATAATTAAATTATTTTCATCAAATAGCTTTGGAATCCATCTGTTACAAAATTATTCATATATAATTTTATTGTTTCCTTCTTTGATTTGTATTCTTCCCATAGTATGATGTTGTATTTTGCTATTTACATTTATAAACTCCTTAGAATTTGTTAGAATTTCTTTCTTTCTCCGGGTAAATAAATAAATAAACAATATTTAGTAGCGATCTAAACTTAAAGTATTTCGTAATTTTAAGCAATCGAAAAGAATTAAAGAGAATTCACGTGCAGGTGGGAAAACAATTCATGCAACGGAATTGCATCGATTGTCTCGCGAATCGGCACGCGATGTCTGAGAGAGGGCACTCTCATTGACATTTGGTGACATTTCGATCGTTGCGTCGACGAAACAGGACAACGATTTGTAGACGATGTACATTTGTCAAAGCGGTTGAACGAATTTATAGCTACCTGCGTAAGCACGAGTTTGGCCGCTCAAGAGGAAGCTCTTCTCAGCGTTAAAATCGCCTTTTTCCTCTCTCTCTCTCTCTCTCTCTCCTTTTTTTTTTCATTTCTGCTTCTTCAATTCACCGCGGCTTTTTTAGAAGTGTCAAACCCAATATAATTAAGTCCTTTGTTCGTGCTAATTCGCAACCAGTTTACACAGAACCTAAGACCGGTTACTAAGGTCGCCGGAAAAATATTCTCTCCAAAGAATACTGACTACCCTTTCAATGCCGGTCTTTGTGCAGATCCTACCAGGTATATACCTATTTAGCTGTTCCCCTAAGGTACGCGCTCCAGAAGAATCTACTGGGAATACCTTCCAACCCACGATTTCTTTATTTAGTCCCCTTTATTCCCCTCTTCCCCACTATGTACTACTCGTAGCGTCGTTCCTTTTACCTCGTTCGTCGCAATTATAAATTAGCCTTTAACGCTACGCGTCGAGGGTAGCGATATGATGATCGAGAGAAATGGAACTTACCAGTGTCCATGGCCACCAATGTTAGGGTGTATTCTGATACCAGTTCTCTGTCGAGCGGCCGAAGCAGAAAAATGTCGCCGGTGCTCGCGTTTATTCGAAACAAATCCGTGTCACCTTCCTTCAGGAAGTATCTCACTTGGTCATTGTAAGGCGGCGTGTCTGCGTCGTAAGCTTTGACCTGAGGAATCCAATGACCTTTTCATTTTCAATGTTAACTCTTTTGGTACCTAAGAGGATTTTATCGATGCCCTTATTTTAACAAAATGTTTCTACCGATAGAAGCGATATATTCTTTTTATTGAGATTCCATGATAATACTTTTACAGTTTTTGGATGATACATAAAAAGATTGTAAGCTACTAAGAGAGTCGAAAAAGCCTCGTTTCTAACTCTTTATATTTTGATAGATATATTTAAAAATATCGCTTTATATAAGTAGTTTATATTAGTTCAATGTAACAATTTCACTATCATGGTCACTAAAACAAAATGAACGTTCCTAAATTGTTAGATTATGCGCACGAGAACGTTTTATATCATGTACTATTGAATACTTTTACATAAGTATTTGAATACTAAAATATTCAAAAGATTTATTGTATTTTCAATTTTCTTAAAAATGTTTCTTTATCATTATTGTTTCGCTTCTTACAATAACTATTGAAATTGAAACAAGGAATATATTCTTGCATTCTTCATATCAAGCACAAGTTGTTAGCTTTAAAAGCTGTTGCAGAATTGTTGTTAAGCTTATTGCCCGACGTATGTATCAATTTATACGATTAAATTATCCATAAGATGTTGATTATTGCCAAAAAATATTTTCAATCACTTATGATTGAAAATTATTCGTAACCGAGATGTTCAACATTTTTAATCGAGAAATTTTCTTCACATTTTGAGAATCTATCTTCAATTTCAATGTTCCGAATAAGTTTCAATTAAATAACTCTCTCATAAAAATTTTTCTTATTTTCAGCTCCTGACTAGTATAAAAACTTCGGTAACTTGATTTCGAAGATAAAGGATTAAATACAAATCGAGTGAATCGCTTGGATTATTTACCTGTATGACGAATCCACCTCCAGGTGGTACCATATTCTCCATAACGTGCGCCAGATAGGGCGAGTCCAAGAAAACAGGCGCATTGTCGTTTATGTCGAGGACAGTGACGGTGACCTGAGCGGTGTCACCCCGCGGCGTTTCCCCCACCTCTGAAGCACAGTCCTCCCCCCTGATCGTCAGGTAGTACCTGGATTTTCGTTCGAAGTTGAGATTCTTCGCCACTCGGATGACACCGCCGTCCTCCGAGATGGTGAAATCTCGGTTGTCGTCGCCCATCGCGATGCTGTATCTCACCCTTCCGTTCGCACCCTCGTCGCGATCCATCGCCGACACCTGAAGTTCATAAAACGGGCTCGCATCGAAAATTTCGAAAACGAAATAAAGGCATCGGTGCCCGGCGATCGTTTGAACGTTCTTCGAGGCTTTGCTTCACCGCTTCAGTTGCGGTGTCTCCTCTCGGTTTCCAGGAATATATACACTTGCGTGATTTAATTAGCGTGACGTAACTGCTCGCGTAATCTCGACTTTATGGCAACACTTTACTGTAAAACCGCAATTCCATTCGCGC